CTGGTTCCATCGGTCACTATTGATGTCTGCTTCGGAGCTCTACTAATCCTTGTCTAACTATACAATGGCCTGAGCTCCGTTTACAATTGACAAGAGTCTACAGGTCTTACCGAGACGAGACTAGTAATCTACCAGGAACTAGCAAAAGAAACTAGCGAAAATGCCAAATGCCTCCTCCTAGCCGACAGTGTCTCATTTTGTCTAATTTTTCGACAGTGTCTAATTTTACCAACTAATAATAGGAACAAGAACAAGACGGGAGAGGTGAATAATCGATACCTGCTCTCTGATCCATGTCGGTAGGGGGCTACGAATATCCCAGCAAACCTCGGATTGGTGATAAATGTTCTGAATTTGAGGGCTAAGCTGTAGTCAGTTCCCGGTTGTAGATCAACAGACGTGAAAATATCCAGCAACTGTGGATGTTCTTCGGAAATCTGAATGCAGACATACTTAAAGTGTTATTCACTACACACACTCTTTATCCTGGAGATGAAGTGGGCGTGGTTGCGTACTTCATTTGAACATGGCGTAGGATGCGCTCAGATTTCCATTTCGAACAACTACCATCCTGCAACCAAGACATGTTTACAGTCGCCCTGGACGGTAGTATCCCACCGAAAGCGCACCCGCAGCCACGCCCCCGCTATATTCGGGATATGGAGTGTAAGTCTGAACACGGACGTTTCTTGTTCTGGAATAAAGTGATTGGCTAGACTACTAATAGGAAACCACTTCGGCACAGGATACATCAATGACGAAGTTCGGCATTGTTGGGGGTCGTATTCTGGGATTATTCAGGACTAGTCTGTTTGAAAAACTTTCCCGATGTGCCCTGATTGGACAACCAGCGCTAGTGACCTTGAAGGTGCCACACCTGTAAGCGCTCGTGAACACATGCGGATATCCAAAAACCTTGTCAAAACCCTGTAAGCCTTGTTATCACCTGTTGAGCACCCAGTGAGCTCCTGTCAAACTTGTCAAAATGACTGCTCAACATTTGGAGCAACAGAGAAATGGCAATTGAACGCTAGCACCATTTCGCCAAGCTTGACAGGAGTTTACAGGGTACTTGACAGGATTTTTCAGGGTTTACAGGGTGAGACGCGAATGTGCAAAGAAAAAAAGGAATAAGACAAGGACACACGACAAGACAAGACAAGAGCTGACATGTGTGGCGCCCGCACCCCCCACCCCTCTGTCTCCTACCCCCTCCACTCGTGTATCATCTAGTTGGTATCGTCGCAATCCAACGGTGTCGGGGAGCCGCTGAGTGAGCCCATACGTGGATGCATATTCCGCCAGTAGTGGCCCGTCATGAGGAATAACGCAGGTATACTAAAATGGCCCGGATGGGCTCATTCTACATCTGACACTGCCCCGCCCACTGCGACGATATCAACTGCAGTTTGAGAGACACAGAGACACTGCGACGCCAACCAAGGGAATATGGAGAGATGTTACGCAGCGGTCGCCCACCTACGGCGGAATATTCCGCGATAGGGCCATGAAAACAGAACTCTAGCCTCCTCAACGCGTCTTTTCCCTTCTTCAGTGATCCGCTCTGGGCTAGGCATATCTAGGCTGACCCTTGAAACATGGAAAACTCTTTTGCATAACAAAATTCCAGCTCGTGGGCCAGGCCGATTAGCTTCAGCGTGTTCGGTTCGGTCTGGCACTTCGCTGGCTCTCGTAGTTCTCACCCGTTGCCTCCTGTGGAGATCTGTTGATTCCTCACAGACTGTACAATAGCAGGAACATCGCCCCACTAGACAAGGAACAGCAGGTTTCACCAGGTGTAACGTGTAATTTTGAAGGAGCTAGCAAAAGTGCAGTATGCCCCTCTCGAGTCAAACAGAGCATTACTTTCAACAGGTAAAAGACAAGAAACTGCCGTCCAAAAGAACAAGAAACTGCCGTCCAAGAACTAAATTCTACCTCATCGATGTTGATCTCTTCAGAGTCCCGGTAGACTCTCACTGAAGTGATATTGATATGCTTCACATTCAATTGTATCCGTCGCACAGCACGAAGTACGGTGAACGTCATTCGGGTCATACCATCCAATGTGAAATCCAATGAGCCGAACGTGATGCCACTAAACAGGACGACTTCGTGACTGAACGAAGGTCTGGAGTCATATTAGCCGCCCCTGTTTGAGACTTGGCTCTTGATTTGTCACATTTCACTTGAAAAGGGCACGTGGCCACATTACGCATTCAGGGCGGAAAAAAAGCTGTTTTGCAGGTTTGCTAGCTGGGCAAACCTGCAAAACAGCTTTTTTGAAAAAATTGAAATCGCCTTTCCGTTGCAAAACACGCTGAGTTAATTGAACCATTGCACTAATCCTCTGACTGCAGGAATCGTTCCGGGGTGGAAAGCCGTAGCCATCCCGCCGAAATATTTAATTTACCTCAATCTCCCAGCTTTACTTCTCGTACGATGATTCATAACTAACGATCGTTTACGACGTTAATGCTTTTTTGCTAACGACAATTGGGCGCAATTCGGCTTGGTGGGGACAATTTGCTAGTTCCCATGGGTCATAGCCGTTGCATCCTGTGGAGACCTGTAACTTCCTGTAAAGCTATGCAAAAGCAGGAACTTCGTTAACACTTGACAAGAGTTCTACAGGTCTCACCAAGACGAGACGTGTAATTTAACAGGAACTAGCAGAATGAACCATCAGAGACAATCCAGACCAGTGAAATATACTCTTGCGTACGAAGGTGCGTGCCAGGCAGTACTGGTGTGTCACGGCGCCGAACACCCTCTCTACCAGTTGCTGAAGCGGGTATGCGACAATCATTGACAGAAAACGAGTGATACGAACGATATAACTTAGTCTTGTCACTTGCTTGCTTTAACAGCTGGTAAAAAAATGGTTCGGCACCGCACCAAAATCATCCCGACTGACAGTCTGACATGCCCTTTCGTCCGCAGCGAACTGGACTATAAGTGCGCCTGAATCCGACTGAGTAGGGTCAGAAACGACTACGTGGGGAGGGAACTATGCAGACAGCCTCGCTCGATGAAGGCACTAGAGCAGCAACTGTTATGTTAGGGGTACGCGCACAGGAAACGTGAAGATCACCGTATACAGGGTTAGCGACCTCCTCACGGAAAAATGGAGAGGTGATATCAAAAAGAGCCCTCAGTGAAGTGGAGCCTACGGCAGAAGGTGGCCTGGATGCGATGAAAGAGGATAGAAGTACGCTGATGCCGCGCCAAAGTCAAAC